TGGGAGCTTTGTGGGATCCTTTCGAGATTGCCTTGCGAGGACCGAGCGTTCCTCTGGAGCGCATGACGGGTGCTATTTGAGCAGTTTTTGCTTGACCGCGGTTCTGCTGGGAAGGTCCGACGTTCTCTGCCGCCTCCAAATGTTCTCGAGCATTCCCCACGTGCCGTGCTGTGTTGGTTGCATTCTGGGCATTCATTGCGTTTGTTGCCTCGACTATACTGGCTGCTGTTTGTGCGGCATCTGGTGCATTGGCTTGCAAGTGGTTGAGGGCCTCCTCAATGTGTTTGTTTGCAATGGCTTGGTCCTCCCCATTTGCCATCGCATTGAGGGCTGCATGGACGTGTGCACGTGCCCGACGATTCCTGGGAGGGTCACTGTACATCCTCATGTTCTGTGCCGAGGGGCCACCCCGGGGTGGGTACACGCCACTTGCATACCGAGTGGCTGGCTTGCTTGTCCTCCCACTACTTCGAGGGACACGGCTCTGTGCGCGTGCTAGAATGCCCGGGTAGATTTCGTCCAAGCAACGTTCCAGAATCTTTAGCTTCGCAGGGGGGGTCTTTAAGGTGAGCCTGTTGTATCTTTTCAGGACTTCTGCTTCGGACAGCTCTTTCTCGTCCCAAAGACCCGCTTTCAGCAGGATGGTCTTGCAAGGACTGAGCGTTCCCCTCTGTACCCTGGGCATCTGATGCCGCAGTGTCCCGGGGCGGAGTACGGGTGCTCTTTGCCTCCCACTGCTTTGAGCTTGGTGGGACAGAGTACCCCTGGTTAACGGCCTCACGAGACCTGCCAGGTCCTCTGCGTTTGTAATCATGTGTGGCTGGAGCATACCTGTGTTCCCGTCTCTTAATGCAGCCAATCGTCTCTGTATTTGATCCAATTCTACGTTGTTGGAATGAGTAGGACGTGCTTGGGATGGCCCAGCATTGTTTTGAAGGACTGCCTTGCCCTTTCGATTCCGTTGTCTCTGTTCATTCTCCGCTCCGTGCAAAAGTTCCCGAGCATTTGCTACATGCTGGGCGGCAGCTGCCGCGTTTCGGGCATTGATTGCATGATTTGCTTCGACTACGCTGGCTGCTGTCTGGTGGGCATTGGGGGCATCAGGTTGCAGGTTGTTGACCGCCTCCTCAATGTGTGCGTTTGCGATTGCTGTACCCTGGCCACTTGCAACCGCATCAAGGGCTGCCTGGACTTGTGCACGTGCGCGACGATTCCTGGGAGGGTCACAGTACATGTTCATGTTTTGTGCCGAGCGGCCACCCCGGGACGGATAAACGCCGCTTGCGTACCGAACCACCGGCCTTCTTGTCCTTCCACTTCTTCGTGGGACGCTCGGGGCGTTTGCTGCGTGACCCCCAAAGCGAGGCCAAAGCCGAGGCCAAGGCCATTTCGAGGTCTTTTGGTGCTGGGCAGACGGACGTTCGAGAAATCTGGAGAAGCAGGATTCCCCGCTTTACGCTTTGGCACTCTCGTCCTTCCAGCTGTTGCTGTGTGATTGGGTCTCTCCATATAGCTGCGGACCCTTTGGCGTCGAGATGCGTCCCTGTCGCGTTTCTGTTGTCTTCTGGACAAGGGGTAGGGCGCGCTCGTCACGTGAACGCGCTTGCGCCTGGGTTTTGGACCGTAGAATGTGCGGGCACTCCTTTCTTCATCCACATTCAAGGCAGCATCTTCGTCACTCGAGTTGGAAGATTCAACCCTCTCGAGATAGCTTCTGACCCGTTGGCGTCGAGATGCGTCCCTGTCACGTTTTTGCTGTCTTCTGGACAAGGGGTAGGGCGCGCTCGTTACGTGAAAGCGCTTGCGCCTGGGTTTTGGACCGTAGAAGGCACGAGCGGATCTCTCTGCTTCTCTCATCCTTTCTTCGGCGGCACGGGCTTCCTGTCGCCTTCTCAGGTTGTTGTGCCGCGTGTCTCTCTGAGGTCGCGCGTAGGGACTAGGGCGCGGGGGGCGTGAGTGGTGTCGAAATTCTGGTCCCGTGGGCCTGGACGTCGAGCTTTGAGCACCGTAGAATGATGTTGCATCCCTTTCTGCCTCCGTGTCCGCCGCTGCTTGGGCTGCACGGACTTCCGCGTTCAGCTGGTCTTGGGATTTCATCTTGAAGCACTCACTGACGCGCTGGAAGTAGTCTTTGGAGTCGACGCCGTACATTGCTGTCTTGTCAGGATGGAACTTTAGAGACCACTTACGAAAAGCTTTCAGAGTCTCAGCCTCCGTAGGCTTGCGGATGTTTTTCAGGAGCTCCTCGCAGCTTTGTTTAGCACTGGAAGCAATGATGGATTCGAGCTCCCGCTTTTTGGCATTCTTCTCTTGCCTCACGCGATTGACATTTGCTGCGTGATTTGGGCCGTGGTGGGAAGGCCCAGCATTGTTCTGTGCAACTGCCTTGCCCTTTCGGTTCCGTTCCCTTTGTCTTTTCTCCGCCGCCTGAAGATGGTTTCGAGCATTTTCTACATGCTGAGTGGCATCTGCCGCGTTTTGAGCATTGATTGCACGGTTTGCCTCGATCACACCGGCTGCTATTTCGGGAGCATCCGGGGCATCAACTTGCAGGTGGTTGACAGCCTCCTCAATGTGAGCGTTTGCGATTGCTGCATCTCGACCGTTCACCACTGCATCAAGGGCTGCGTTGACGTGTGCACGTGCCTCAGGATCCCTGGGGGGGTTACTGTACATCCTTCTGTTGTGTGCCGATCGGCCACCCCGCGGTGCATAGTTGCTGTTTGTGAAGCGAACCACTGGCGTTCTTGTCCTCCCGCTTCTTCGTGGGCCAAGCGTGTGGGGCTTTTTAAAGATGGTCTTGCGAGGACCTAGTGCTTCTCCGTGTACCCCCGAGCGCGTCGCGGGCACTCTTGGCCTCTCGCTACCTTGAGAAGCATTTATGTCATCGACTGGATTGTCGTGATTGACATCCATATCATCTACAACATCCTCCTGTGGGGTTTGAGGGTGGGTGGACGGCCCAGCATTGTTTTGAGCACGTGTCTTTCCCTTTCGGTTTCGTTCTCTCTGTTCTTTAGCTTGCACGGCCATCTGCCGGAGCTCTGCAGAGAGCCCCTCCCGCCTCGTACCTTGACCGCTTCCGACAAACGCCCTCCTCGGTGCGACTTGCCCCCCACTCCTTGCCAGGCCGTGCTGCTCGCCTCTCGGTCGGTCGAGGCCAGCAAGGGAGTCATCTTCGTCTGAATCACCCTCATCGAGCAGACCCCCATACAGCTGCCGGTTGATATGTTGCTGTACTCTGTTTCGAGCCGCAGCTGCACGCTGTTGTTGCTCCCTAACCTCTGTTGCGTTTCGTTGCTGCTGCTGGTATATTTGATCGACCCATGCATCATCTTGAACGGTCTGGAAGCAGTCAATCACTCTCTGGAGAAGTTCTGTTTGACCATACCTGGCAGTATACTCTTGGACCCAGCTTTCAAAACGAGACCTTGCATCATTCTCGGTCAGACCGGGTTCCCATATACCTAGGACCCTGAGGATGTCCGTACACGGCATGCTTCGAGCGAGGCGGGCACAAACGTCATCCACATTGGTAGTCGTCCCCATATCTGCACGTGGCGGGCGTGCATTCGGGCCTGCT